ACGGGAATGAGGTGTAACTTCTTGTACCTCCTGGGGGGAGCAATCTATTTCAGCAACAGTAGGGAAAAATCAGCTTCATTCATGAAGAAGGGAGCAACGGGGAGGAAGGAACGGCTGTTTGTTAATGTTGCCTTAAGCTAAACTTTAATGAAGTGCAACACTTAAGATGCCTGCGTGCCTCAATTATGTCCACCAAGCTCACGTGTTGCCTTTCTAATTATGTAGGTTGAAAAATGAGGTACGTGAGAAGAGACTGATGCCTACTCATTACCTGTCTGCGAGTCGTAATTCCGCATTCTTTCAGCTGCCTGGGTGCCAGGTGTAGTCACACACACAGGGTTTCAAGCAGCAACAGTCAGACAGTGCGAAGGTCCCACGCAGCACGGGGATGGGACTGCAGAAATGGATTTGAACCAGGGAGATAATGTGTGATGTGAGCAGCGAGCCGGGCTCAGCGCCGGAGGTGGTGTTCTGCAAACACAGAGGTGAAGCTTGGGAAGGCTCGAAGTGTTGTCTGGTGTCTGAGGGCGTTGGTTACCGACTGGTGCTGACCTTGAAGGAAGGGACCAAGAGCTAGCCAGATACGTGATTCAATTACCAATGTTAGTGGTACCTTTTCCATAGGACTCCGCTGCTCCTTCTGCAGAAAGCTCAATTCTTCTGTTTCTGATCATCCTGTTACATTATACAATGCATCCTTCTAATGTGAAATGAAAACCAAATATGGTTCAGAAGTAAAAAAGTCTCCTTTTTATTGTGCTAGACACATGGAGGCTAGATAATAATTTTGGAAACCAGAAATTGTTTTGTTTACCCAGTCCATTTTTATTGTTATCATTAAGTGGAAAAAAATTGACAGACAAAAATTTCTTCAAAATTGTGCAATAATAACATAGCAGAAATCAGTGATTGAAAAGAAAAAAAAAAGACACAGAGTAGCAATTCAAATGGTATAGTATTAAACTGCACTTGAGGAACCAGATTAGAAGTCGGCGCTACCTCTAAAAACCTCATTATAGACTGGCTGATTGTAGACTGCTGCACGTTTTGAAGGATTAATTATAAATGTTACATCTAGTTCCAGTAATGAAGATGCTCTCTGGGTCCAAGAGTGACTAAGTTGTACCATTTCCCTTCTGAAGTCCATTTGAAGGAGACATGAAAGTTGTTTTGGAAAATGTTATTTTGGCCTTTCCTGAACACGGTTTTATGTTTCCACCAGCAAATTAGTGAAGTTTGTCATTAAATACTACTCTGTCCTTACAAAGAGATTTCAAGCATGCAGATCCTAAGGCTGAAACCTGCCCTGGGAGGAAGGGGAGTGCTGCTGAATGAGAGCCGCTGGCTCACGTGAGGCTTCCTCAGTGGCTCATGTAAGTCGGGGCTGCTCTCAGCGACTCTAGAACCAGGATTAGTAAATAATCCTGCCCTGGCCGTTGCCTGGGCAAGGCAGATCCCTCTCCACCCAGACAGGAGCTTTCAAGTCACGTCTCCCGGGGTTTCTAGAAGCCAGCAGGAAGCAATACCATTTTGTGACCACCAAGGTGACTCGCACCCTGCAAACACAGAGGTCCTTTGGTGCGCGGATGTTGGCAGCCAGCGTTGTCACGGCACCTGCTCCCTCATGCTCCTATGCTCTCTCCTCCCCTTTCTGGCTGGGTACGTGCTCGTATGCATCTATATGTAACTTGAACTCTGTCCAAGGAAAAGAGTCTTTTCCCAGTACTAAACCCGCAGCTCTCTCCTGCTAACGCTGCGTCAAGGTAGGAGCACGTGGAACAAGTTGTGGCAGGGTGAGCCAGGGTGCGAACTTGCAGCACGCCAGCTATTCTGCAGATTAAATATCTGCAAGCAGTTTTCCCCTGAGCTCAACATGGCATGCTTCCCCCCTCTCTGAAATTCCTCTGAGCCTTCACCCGGGGAACGGCCGAGCAGCACTGGAGCCATAAGCTCCCGTGCCTGCCTGGAGCGGGTGCCGGTCGTGCGTGTGGGTCGCTGCGGGAGCTGGGGCGAGCAGCTCGCCGCGGCACAGAGGAGGCAGCCGACGGACGAAGGAGTGATGGGATTTATTCAGGCTGAAAGGATCGAATGGGTGTTTGGATCTCGAGCCTGGAAAACCGCACCTCCTTGTCTTTTCTTGTAAAAAGCAAAACCCCCACCCCCAAAAAACACACTAAAATCTCTCAAAAGGACCTGAGCCAAAGCAAAACAAACGTCGTGGTCCAAAACCCCACCAGATTTTAAGCGTTCAACTTCAGTCTTTTGTTCAAATGGACTTTAGAGTACCAGCAGGCATCTGCAGAGAAATCTGAAATGAATGCAAACATGATTTAAATGGAAGAAGTTCCACCTAACCAGGGTACTTCCCATACACCTTTTTTTCTTCCTTATGGATCCAAACATTTCACTGGGTTACTATGAGCTAAACCCAAGTCATGTCCTAAAAGTTAGGGTAACGAGTCATGTCGCGTTGCATGAGGCTACTGAAACAAAACCAGAACAAAATATGCATCCGCATCCATGTCCCATATTTACACCAGAACCCTCCCACCCCCTATACATCTCTGTGAACAAGATTCCGTGCTTTGAAAGTTCATAAAAATATACAATTTACCCAGAACTGCATCTAACCTGCTCAGTCCCTGCCCGGGGCTTAGACTTCTCTATCTATGTACAAAATACACTAGCCCTGTGAAGTTGCTTTGCTGAGAGCACAGTGGTGATTTTTGGAAGGAAGGGAAAGTCTCAGGGGGTCGGGCGTGCCTGTGCAGTACAGCACTGCCCGCACAAGGTAGATTCAGCTTTGCACAAAGCCTGCCTGCTGCGGTGTCCCCCCCAGACCCCTGTGCAATGCAGGGGTGACTCTGCAGACAGCGCTGAGGGCTCTGTGCTGCCCACGCTGCGACAGTGAGGCACAGGTAACCGGGAGAGGGGCTTTGGAGTACAATATTCCCACAAAACGCTTTGCTGGCAATAGTCGGAGCTCCGTGCCAGCATGGCTGAGCTACGGGTACAAAGGAGCCTTTCAGAGTGGCCAGAAGTGACCTGTCCCCCAGCAGATGCTTGACAACAACCAACCAAGGGATTTCTGCAGAACATAAAGTGGTTGCAAGGGTCCCCCTAGGCATCTGTCTGCCAGATAGAGACACAAGATGGGCTAAGTGCTAGGATTTACCCTGGGGAGTAAAGTAGCAGTATTTAACCTGTAGTAACTCTCACCAGAGAGGTATCATCTTCTGGGATACTGCACTGTAGTTCTCAGTTGCCTGTGCCAGAAATATCTGCTTAATAAGGAAGGAGTTCAATACTCTTTATCTCTGCTTTTAGGCTTTCTTTCCTATATCAGATCATTTGATTTATATCTTTAGAATAGTTTGGCCTCTCGGTCAGATTCTGATCTCTCTATGTAGCTCTAATTCTAGACAAATTCATCTATACATGCTGGGTTGATTTACTCAAAATTTTTACTCCTGAACAGCACCTGACCTACTAACAGGGTAAAAAATATTGCAACTCTGCAAGCTCACTCCTGCTTATATAAATCTGATTATAGTTTGGTCCCAGCTTTGGGGGAAAAAACTGTCACCAGGAATGATAACACCAGTAATTGAAAATAGAGTTAGTATTTCTTTAGAGTATCAAACCATACAGAATTTCAACTTTCTATACATTATCTATATGTGATATTAAATGGATCAGTTGTGTATCAAAACATAGCTGGCCTCTCTCATTTCATCTGTAGGAAGACTGTAATTATAACTTAATTTACACAGCAAAAATATTTTGGTTTCAACAAAGAAAACAGTGTGACAAGACTGTGCTGTGTTTTACTGGTGCGAAGCTTTGCATATATAGAGCACAGACAGGTGTGACCCGTGAACATCCGCTCGTGTTGTCGCTCTAGGGTTGGCAAGGAGTTGGAATCGTGGTGAGATGCGCATTTTGCTATCACAAAAAAGCTCGATGATGGTAACCAGACATTTCTACTGCTTAGCTCTGCAGCCAGTATTATGTCTACTGGAAACGTGAGATGACTACTGATGGGAAAATAATATATACGAGTGTGTATATATATATGTTACTTCTAAAGCTGAAGGTACCACTACAGCTACGTTTAGGAAATTCTAATGAAGGAGGACTGAACCCCTGCTGTAAACCAAATGAATGTAGATGTTCAGTAATTACAGCTCTGTATGGCTGCGGCCCGTCCGCCTGCCCGGCTCTCCCAGTTGCGCACAGAGGAGGCTCCCCCTTCTGTTCCTCCAACACAGCAACATCCCAGAGAAGCTCCAGGGAGGAAGGGTGTCCTGATCAGCTGGGGAGCGTGTTTTAAGGTGTGTGCTTTAGCTTCAGGTAGCGGCAAATTTTTTTCAGTGACATTACTGACAATGAACTACAGATTAATTGGGCCACGTGCGATGGGCATGGTCAGCAGCTCGGTAACCGCCGGTGCCCTCTGGAGGGGTTTGGGCAGCGGTGGGAGGGTAGGGCATGGCACGGACTGTCGTTACCGCATGCCTGATGAACGCGAGAGTCAAAACTGCAAAGCCTGGGCGCTTGCACAGCGCTGCAAAAGGATTCTGCAGAGCCCAAAACCCTCCGGCTAACGGCCCGTGGCATGTGGCACAGGCACGTGGGGTTGGCGTGACCCTTGGCACCACGGTTTGGTAGGGCCCAAATGCTTTATCTTATAGGTACAGCAGCTGGAAGCTGAACTCATACAGCAAGTACGTGCTGCAGTATCTTGACTTGGGCTCTGAGATTGCAGAAAGATTGTGTCTTTTAATAAGGGGGGGAAATATGTAAAAATAAGGATTTTTATTATCGTGGCAAGAACAATGATGGGGATGCCAAGATACTACTGCCTCGCAAGATAAAGTGGCACATGTTCTACACAATAATGTGTACAATGTCTGACGACTTTGGAAATCTGTTCTCAAGCAGATTTCCCAATAAATTAACACAACAAAAATACTTCCATATAAAACAAAGTCCAAAGGATTTTTTTTTTTTTTTTAAAGTAAAAGGAAAACCTTCAGGGACTATATTACTTATCTCTCTCTACATATATAATCTCCTGAATTTTTTTTTAAATAAATTTATTCTTGTCTTAGAAAAATAAAACGAGTAGCCAATTTAGTCAACAGAAAATATCTCACAGACTTAAAAGCATGCCCAGCAAGCATAGCCTTGTAAGACTAAATGAATGTTAAATCAAAGCAATTTGTTACTAAACCAACCTAGTCTGCAATTCACAGTTGATTACTACAAAGTGTTTTTTTAAATTTTTTTTGGCCCATATAAAAATAACATATTGCAAATCAAAGTGCATTTTTAAAATAAACAATCAACTATTTTTATCAAATAAAATATTTACACCATTTGATTTTTACAGTCAGAAACGCGCTTCATGCGATGACCATGGGAACATCATCTGAAAATCCAGTTATCATTGGGGCTTCGTCATCCTCATCTCCTGCAAAACAAACCCAGAGCTCTGTTATGCTGCTCTCGGTGTTTCTCGAGGCAGGAGTAAACGGGCTACCGAAGCTGGCCACAAAACTGCCTCAAAACCAGTATATCGTGGCCTCGCTCATGCTCTTACCTGGTGGTTTTATCTTTATGTTCAAGTTTTAACCGATTTGCATTAGAGGGAGTGGTGTAAGTGAAGCTGCTAAAAACACTCACCCTGGGCTAGCTTTGTGCTCTTAGAACAGGACCAAACCCATAGAGAGATTTATGCCGAAAGCGGCCCAAGGCACGACGGAGGAGTTAGTGTGGCACTGATTTCACGTCCTTACGGCCGTGCGCGAAGCCGAGGGCTACGTACCTAAATCGTCTCCCGAGGAGAATATGGCCGAGCCTTTTGCTGTTTGCAAAGGCGGTGAAGCTGTTCTGCAGCCGCCTGTGCCTCATGTACAGCACCACGAACCCGATCCCGAGGGTCACCAGCAGCAGGAACAGCACCGGTACCACGATGGCAGCGACGTCCGTGGATCTGCCAGTTTTTGATGCAGAGGAGTCTTCCCCTAAGATGAGGGAGGAAAAGAAGGGCCATTAGCAACTGATAGCACATTTCTCCAGTGAGCTTGTGAGGCTTTCGTTAGTCGTTGTCAAGGAGGATGGGGAAGAAGCCTTCCAGTGCTTAAAGGGGGCCTACAGGAAAGCTGGAGAGGGACTTTTTACAAGGGCATGTAGTGACAGGACAAGGGGCAATGGTTTTAAACTGAAAGAGGGCAGATTTAGATTAGATATAAGGAAGAAATTTTTCACTCAAGAGGGTGGTGAGGCACTGGCACAGGTTGCCCAGAGAAGTTGTAGATGCCCCATCCCTGGAAGTGTTCAAGGCCAGGTTGGATGCGGCTTTGGACAACCTGGTGTAGTGGAGGATTTCCCTGCCAATGGCAGGGGGGTTGAACTAGATGATCTTTGAGGTCCCTTCCAACTCAAACCATTCTATGATTCTAAGATGCCAGGGACTTACCAGTTCCTAGTTCATCGTAGAGCAGCGTGGCTGGCTCGCCACACATCTGCCCACTGTACAGGCACCTGGCCTGAACGCTGAATGAATAGTTGTGACCTATCTTCAGGTTGGAAACTTTGAAGTAGTTTTCTGTGGTGTTCCCAAGATAAGCCGTCATGTTCATCAAGCTGTCGAACATGTGAATCTCATAACCCTGGGAGTTGTGAAAACAAAGACACAAAGCCCAAATCACTCGGCTGCAGAGGTCAGGTTTGCTCCTTCTGACTTTGAAACTTGTTTTTCCTCCTGAATCATGCTTTGATGAAATGCGCTGGGCTATCAGCCGGGAGGGAGCCATGCGGAGCCTCCTCCAGGCATTCATCAGCATGCATTGACCTTGGCCAGTTCAGGGAGGAGAAGATTTTGGTCTGTCTGATTTGCTCTGTTCTTAGCATCCACCCGAGACCACCCAAAACACAGAGCCCAGTATCAGCGATGGCTTTTTTGGCATAGTTTGCGACCTGCCCGGGCCCTGACAGAGAACATGTCACATTTTCCATCAAAGTCTAAATAACAACAACTCTCAGACACTACCAATGTGCTTCCCGGCAGAGCGGGCAGTGTCCTATTCCTGGTCCTTTCACGCATGTGACAGCTGACCTTTTCCAAGAGGATAACTGTTCCTACAAGGTGACCGATAGGATCTGTCAGCTTTAGGGCCTTAGTTGTGATGCGAATCGCAGCGAGCTCTGCGCAGGGGGCTCGCCAGGGACGCTCCGGGGAGCAGAGCGTGCTGGTGTGTTTCAGAGTTTGCCAAAGGAGCCTTGCAGTGACTCTGCTCCAAGGTTTGGTGAAACACTGCCTGTGGGACGGGAGAGACAGCGCGACTTACCCGGCTCTCATTGAAATTACTTTCCTTTAATGCCAAGCTCTTCCAGAAAAGCAGAATATGGTCATTTTCTGTTATGATTTTTAAGGCGTCTGGTGCAGACAGTGGAACTGCAAATGAGAAAAAATGGCAGAGGGGTTAGGTCTGAACACTGGAGATGCTTTTCTTTTGGCTGAGAAACAGCAATGGGGTCACTTCTGAAACTTAGTGTTATTTAAGGATCAGCACAATCCTCTGCTTAGAAGAGGGCTGTACTGGAGGAAAGGGTACCATGGAGGTCATCTGGTAGGAGTTTTTCAGTGGGTTTTTACACTAGGACAATGACGGTATTTCATCGTGTCTACACAGCCAAACAGGTGTCTTTCCCATCTTCATCTAGGCAGGAGGAAAACTCCCCAGCTAAGGTTTGAGAGGCTGCTTTTCCACTGCTGCTGTTTGGGGGTCGAAAATTGTCTTCCCTGGGAGCTGCAGGGGGGCCTCTCAGAATGGGGCTTCGGCCGTGGGAGAGGACTAAGTGATGCAGAAACACTACTGTGGCCTCCAGCCAGCGCAGGGGTGGGATGGACGGGGTGCAGGACGGGTGCTGGATTCCCCAGGGACGGACGGTGCTGCAGGGACTCGCCCTGGCACCCAGCCAGCAGTACTCTCTCCTTTACCTGTGTTAATCTTCATGCTGGATTCTTTGCTCATGTTTCCCAGTTGAACAATCACGTGGTATTTGCCTCCTGGTTCAAGTTTCTTAACGGTGTACTCCACCGTGCTGTTTCGGGTTTTCACTTTGTAGACTTTATCTGTTTTTCTTACTAAATCTTTAACTGCGACAGCATATAACTGGAGGGGGAGAAAAGGCACACATGGTGAAAGATCTTGATTTCCTGCAGACTTGCTAGCAATCTCATACAATGGTAGGACATTAGACGAGGGGGGATAAAACTCGAATTAAACTATGCCTGCACTCTACAGAAAGGCTAGGAAGTAAGATTTCAAACCTCTTGCTGTTGGACTAGCTGGATCTCTGCCTGAGATCAGAATTTACAGATACAGAAAATGCAGTTACTGGAAGAGATGAGGGCAAGAGGAAAATTGCAGGTTGCATTTTTTAATGAATCACACGGATGCAATGCAAACTCCTGCCCTGTCAAAGTTTCCAATTTTGCCAGGGAGATTTATACCTTTAAATCTTTGCTGTTAAAGTCTCTGGACCAGCACAGGAGTGGAAAGCTTGCTGAGAAAATGACTCAGCTTCAACAGAGCAAGACCTGACCGTACGCCAGCGTGCCAGAAAACAGACCGGGGCTTTGTTGGGGCTGTGCTGGCACGGCTGGAGCAGGGGGCAGAGCCGCAGCCCGGCTGGCCCAACGCCTGCCCTGCAGGCTGTGCTCCGGCCCCGCTCAGCACAGGCTCCAGGGCAAAGCCGAAGCCCAGAAAAGTGTTTTAGCACATGCCCAAGTTTGCTTTGAGACTCAGTCAGCAACAGTTATCCCAGACCTGACTCTTTTTAAAGGCAGCGTGGATGTTATAGGCCTGAGCTAGTTGCCAGTACTGCGAAGAGAGGAAATGCAGGTCCTGCAGGTGTCAGCATCTTGCCGACAACTATTTAGATGGAGGGCAGACCTGATCTTGGACCCAGTTCACCATCAGCAGCAGGGCAGAGCTCTGTCTTTGAGCCAGGGTTTTGCACACAAAGGGACAGGAGTAGGTGCTGTGAGATATTACCATGTCCTGGTCGGGCGAATCGTAGGGCGACTCCCACTTAATGACTGCAAAGGTCTTTCCGGTGTGCACCGAGTGGAGGTGCCGAGGGGGAAGCCGGTTGTCAGGGATCATCTTCACCACAACGTAGTCGGACGGTGGCCCTTGGTAGGGAGACGTCACACGGACCTTGAAGGGACGACACGGATGTTAATGCTGTGCCTGCACCCTTTGGTACTGCGCTGCAGCCCACAGTGCAGGCAGAAGGGGGAACAGAAAAGGAGCTGACCAGAAACAGGTACTGCTCATCCCGCTGCACCGTCACAGTGATGTTGTGGGAGGTGGTGGTGGCATTGTGAGGGCTCCTGTACAGCTCCAGGAAGGATGTGGCATAGAAGACGCCATAGACCTGCGGAGGAAGAGCACAAGAGGGACGGGACAGGTTTTGGCAAGGGCCGGAGCTCCCATCCAAACTCTCACTGGCTGTCACTTTCTAGGGATGTGATGGAAAGACCCTTTTTTCTCTTGGCACTCTCTCCAGCCCAAGCTCAGGTTCAGCCTGCCCGCTCACTGCTGCCCTCCCCGCCCTAAAATCCTGAGCTCAGCTCTGATAACACAGCAGTCACTGAAAGACCGCTGGAGCATCATGCTATCTGTATTTCAGCCAGTTCTCCACTGGATCAGTGGCTGAACAAGGAGACAAGAAGGCTTTCCTCGCTTCTGTTTAGGGCGCAGAAGGTGTTTTCTCTCGTTTGTTGAGCATAAAATTTTCAAGGCCTTGCAATTCAATCCCTACAAATAATTCTGTTTTAAGATTTCGCTTGTGTTTTGAGGCTCTGAGCTAGACCCTGTCCTGGCTGGTGAGAAAAGAGAGTTGGTGCCTTACTACGTTCCTCGGTCCGGTCCAGCTGCACTCCACCGCAGTCTGGTTGATGGCCTTGGCTTTGAGACTTGGTGATGCAGGTCTCGTCCCACTGGTCACCACGTGTACAAAAGACAGAGGGCTGTCACCCAGCTCCGTCTTAGCCCAAGCAGAGATTTCATAGGGGGTGTGTGCTGTCAAATTTTCCACTGAGCAAGAAGAGAAACGGGCACTGTTAGGTGAGGCAAAGCACTGCAACGGCAGGGTGAGAGCACTAGGAAATGGTCAGCAGCATCAAACAACCTTGGGCAGCAGCCTGCCTCTCCTGGTTTGTGTTTTGATTCATTCTGAGTAACTTCCTTTCTACAGAAGCACCTGGCACTCTGGTATCTAACCTAGCCTGTGCTTTTCTGTAGTGGCATGCTTTCCCGTAGTGGCATGCTTTCTAGACTGTGCACACCAGTGATTTTCCCAAACCAGAAGGTAACCTGATTAACAGGGCCGTGTACTCTATACAAGCCCAAGAAATTCTTGACCTTTTGCAGAGTAGATAAGGAACCACAAACAAAATCCCGTGTGATGAGAAAAGGCTAGTGCAGCTCTGGGGGATAAATCCCAAATCCGCTTGAAATCTCCGAGTCCTAAGAAGAGAGGACAGGGATTTGCTGGTTTGTCCTCTCAAGATTTATTCTTTCCTACACCGAAACTACTCTGTTGAAAAAAAAAAAAAGAAAAAGAAGATTCCTATAGCCTTCCATAAAACCTTCTGTTTGGTGGTGACTAAAGCAGAATTTTACACTTTGTAAAGAATTTACCTTTTTGGACGGACTTTTCTCCTTCTATGATCAGAGTCCTTTTTTCCTGCCTGTGTGTATCAAATGTCCAGTAGATGTTCACAACGTAACCGCTGACCTGTCAAGCAGCAAGGGCACACGGTACAAACCATCAGTTCAGCTGTTTTTGCATGCAGTGAAAGGCTCACTGGTGAAAGTCTTTGTATTTTGTTTCCCATCCTAACTAAGAGAGCTGGGACGGTTGATGAGTAGTAAGAAATATACTGGCATGAATTAACTAGTTTCAAAAAGTAATTACAATACTGAAATGGGCAATAGCTTATCACATCCGATATTTACCGTTTACCCAATGCAGGTCTGTTTTTCTTTATTCTAGCTTCAGAAGTAAAGGTAAAAATTTTACCTTGATATTAGTGGTCATTTTTAAGCTGAAACTTATGGAATTCTCACTGTAGCTCTCAATGTGTATGACAGGTGGAGGAATGACTGGAAGGAAAGAAACGGAGAAACAGCTATTACTGCAGCACAAAGAAATACAAATGCTTATTAAGAGGGGACAGGTAAAATACAGGCTGTCATATGACAGTCATTTCTCAGATGAGGAATCCCTCATCTTTCCAGCCCCAACCTTGCCCATCTCTAAGACACGTGCCCCTCAGAGAAGGCACGGACATGCTGTACCTCCATCATTTTTTCAGTCAACCATCTAAAAGCCACCTTATCTGTGCCTCGCTCGGCACAGGCTGGAAGCAGAGAGGTCTGGACACAGGTATTTTACTTCTGACCTCAGTGGGACAAGCTCATATCACAGCTAACAACTTCTGGCCTTCAGAGGAACCAGTGAGGGAGGTCAGGAGCTATCGGTGGGGACAGCTACCAAATGCTCGTGCAAAACCTGAAGTGAAAGTTATTACGGTTCTTTCTACCTCTGTTTTTCTAACCATCGCTCATGTACTTCATATTATCTGAATCGTGCAACTTTAGTAGCACGGTGTTCTCTTTCCTTCTTCTGTCAACGTAGCGAGGATGCACTTTAACAAATTAGCAGACAATTTTGACTACAAAATACAAGTTTGGAAAAAAAACTTGGCATGAATACAAACGATTC